ACATTATCTGCAATAAAAAGCACTTTTTTAAAAATATTATCTACGCCATTGCTCTCTACGCGTGTAAAGTGATCAATTATCTATCAATTGGTCTCTTACAAAACTTTGATCAAAGCAATAGTTTTTAAGAAAAACACGTTTGTAGAAAATTTGTTAATCGAATCGCAAACTGTTACTTTAATCAAAGTTTTGTAAGAAACCAATTGATAGATAATTGATCACTTTACACGAAAATACTGCCCGTTCTTTTTGGCCAAGATTTTTAACTAATTCGCTTCTGTGCGCCGCCAGAAACCAACCCCTTAAAAATCTTAAATGGAAAGGNTAATGATATTGTTTGATGATTTTCTTTCCATTTTATGTCTAATAAATAAAATTCGTTTTTGCACTTAAATGGATTTTTATTTAAATTTTCTCTCAACCGGTTTCGCTATATATTTACAGCATCTTCAGGAGATTACGTCATTTTGTTACAAAAGTGTCCTATAAAATGAGTCATTTGGTATTTCTTTTTATATTTGTATTATTGAACCACACAGAGAATTTTGTTGAATTATGATTGAAGAGGATTAAAAATTGTGTTAAGATTTGATGTCACTTCGTTTGACGTTGAGTGCGTTGTTTGGCACTATGAAGTAGACTTTGTATTAATTAGTGTAAATTAAGGTCCCCATCTGGTGTAAAACGAGGACGTATTTGGTGTAATATCAAAAATAGATTTAATGTAGACAAGGAAAACGTATTAGGGGATTATTGAGAACAAGAAGGTTGAATTCTTGTACTCGATGTATAAATATTGCGGGGCTTAAACGCGGAGTGTTCTTAAATATTGTTAGTGTGTTAAATGTTAGTTGTTAATTTTAAAGTTTCCATATGTCTATTTCTACAGTATGTGGCAAAATTATGGAATAACTTCAATAAAACGCTTTTAAACATTATTGTGTTAAAATGGCGAAACAAGTCTATTTTGGTTTTTCAAAACACACATTTTGAGCCCATATTCACCTCCCGATAGTCATTTGTTTTTAAGTTACGACGTCAGCAACAATAATGTATTTTTTTAGAGTTTTGTTAACAATAAAATTCATTTCTGAAGAAATTATAAACAAATGACTATCGGGAAGTAAATACGAGCTTAAGATGTATTTTAAAAAACCAAAATAGGCTTGTTTGGTTAATTCTAGGTCTAGTGTTACTTCTAGTGATAATGCTAGTGTTAGTTCTAGTTTAGTTGTTACTCAGCGCCAGGTTGATGTATATTTTTATTAGACTAACACTAAAACTAATACTTGACCTAGAACTAGAAACATTCGAATTTAGCCGTGCGTCTTTCAAGACGGCTAAACCCGAATGTTTCCAGTTCTAGGTTTAGCGATAGTGCTAGTTCTAGTATTAGTTATTATGAAGAATCCTTCTTTTAAGGATGTAATTACTTCGTTTGATGTTGAGTTCATTGTTTGGCACTGGTGAAATAGACTTTGTATTAATTAGTGTAAATTTAGTTCTCTTATTGTAAATTAAGGTCTGTTATTGCAAATTCAGGTCTCCCATTTTCCCCATCTGGTGTAAAACGAGGACGTATTTCGTGTAATATCAAAAATAGATTTAATGTAGACAAGGAAAACGNGCGTCATTTCGAATTTGACAGCAAAAATTAATACCAACCTAAAAATAAATTAAATTATTAAAATTGAGTTTCATTAATTAATATTAATTAAATTTATTTATTGATTTTAATTGTTTTAATCTAAAGTTTGATTGATAAGTGATGTTGAGTATAAATGTGATTACTGGTGAAATAGACTTCGTATTAATTAGTGTAAATTTAGTTCTCTTATTGTAAATTAAGGTCTGTTATTGTAAATTCAGGTCTCCCATTTTCCCCATCTGGTGTAAAACGAGGACGTATTTCGTGTAATATCAAAAATAGATTTAATGTAGACAAGGAAAATGTATTGGGGGAGTATTAAGAACCTAAATATTGTTAGCGTGTTAAATGTTAGTTGTTACATTTAAAGTTTCCATCTCTGCAAGTATGCTGACTATTTTTACAGTATATTGTGGCAAAATTATGGAATAACTTCAATAAAACGCTTATAAACATTATTTTGTTAAAATGGCGAAACAAGTTTATTTTGAAATAAAAGACGTAATCTTTGCACTTTTTAATGGATTTATTATTTTTATTTTTAAGTTCTACCGGTTTCGATCTACCTAATCATCATCATCCACATTGACACACAATATAACAATAAATTCATCTTCGACGTAGTTCCTGAGGATGATTAGATAGATCGAAACCGGTAAAACTTTAAAAAAAATTCATTAAAAAGTGCAAAGATTACGTCTTTTATTTTATTGTTACAAGATGGATAGGAAAAACGATATATATTTTGGTTTTTCAAAACACACATTTTGAGGCCATATTCAACACCCGATAGTAATTTGTTTTTAAGTTATTACGTCAGCAATAATGTTTTTTTTAATTTTGTTAACAATAAAAATCATTTCTGAAGATATTATAAACAAATGACTATCGGGAAGTGAATGCGGGCTCAAAATGTGTATTTTAAATACCAAAATAGACAGTTGTTTAAACGTTTTTGCAAAATAAAGTGTTTTATTGAATTTATTCCACAATTTTGCCGCACAGTGTATAGGATTTGTGTGTATCAATGTTGTTATAGAGTATAACGTTCAATTTTTAAATAAAATACTTTGGTGTAAGTTATGTTTAAAGTAGTATGTGTTATCACTTCGTGAAGTCTTTAGTTTGTTAGTGTATTCTTCTGAACTACTAAATTCCTGGTATCATTTAGCTTTTCTGTTTAGTCTTAACTTTCAATATTGGTAATATCATCAACCTGAGAGGTTCTTGTATGCATTCCTTAATAGATTAATTTAGTTTATGGAGATTATGTTATATTGTGTCATTATTGTTTTTTAAAAATTGAATGTGTTAGCCTAATTAATAAGTTGTGTTAATATTAATAATAAATCCAGCAATATTAGCTTCGTTTACATACAAATTCTTGAGATTTCCTTTATTTCTCACTTTCACTTTTCACATTTTCACAAAAATTTAAGTTATAAAATTTTATAACTCAAATTGAATTAAAATTTTCGTCTCCCAATTTAACGAAAATTTATTTACGAATTTTCTTGTTGGGTGTTGTAAAGGCACATAACGATACGTTTATTTATAGTGTCCCGGGGAGCAATCGGCGTCGTCGAAATAAAGCAATTGTTATTATTTAATGGCAAGCGGGATAAATTGCATGTTAAATATTTACGTTATTCCGGCTCCGGGTTCTTGTGTTCGTGTTCTTGAACGTCGATTTCCATTTTTCACTATCATTTCAAACCACCAAAAACCTATTTACCACCGGTTAAACGGCAAAACAAAACGAAGACATAAATTTTCTTTAAAACACCACAAGTAATTAATTAAATATCCTAAATAAGCAGTTTAAAAATAATTTTTTCTTTTGGGGTACGAAATTTTCGAACTTAACTAGGCAAAGATACTGAGTTGATTTATTTCTCGATGATAATCAACGTTCGCTCTTCCATCGTCTTAACATCAACACAATTAAAGTCCGAGTTATTCATCGGGACGTTGATTGCCTGTTTTGCGAGTCAATCAACGACTGCTGTCATCAAGTTTTGATCAAGAATAACCAAAATCTTATTGTGGCAAAAGATTTTTTGGAATCTACACTCCGATAATATGCTTACATCTAGATTAAACCTTCAAAACGATTAATTTTCCAAGTTCACTGAAACTTGCACCTCCCTCAAGTCAAAATCTTTTCGCTCGAGATAAATTTATTTAAACAAATTAACCGACCGACAGACAAGTTTCAACACGTAACGGTCGTCGCGTCTTTCAACAGCAACAAAATTCCCGACGGAGGCTGCGAAGATAGCGTCGCGACGACCAAAAGTTTTCGCGTTTCGTCGATCGATCGCGATCGATGAGTGACTTTTGTCGGCCCCCCGTTGTATCCCAAAGGAACCGATCCACAATTTAAGCCACTCCCAACCTCATTTTCAGCAACCAACCGTTCCTGAAACTTACATCCTGTAAATCTAGAGAGGTGTGGCCTAAACGCACACCAATTCAACAAAAAAAAGGGATTCGTTGAGGACTCGGGAAGAGGGGGACCCCCATTTTCCAGGAACGTCTTCAAACAAGAAATGATCCTAAAACATAGAAAAATTAATCGAAAATTTTATTTTTAAAAGTGAGGTTATGCAATTTTTGATAATAAAATGTTTTACTTACTTTTTGGGTAAATCTGAGTATTGATTGTTGAGTTTATTATTGTTTTTGCGATTTTTGTGGTAAAATCGGTTTAAATCGATGGAAAAACTCGGAAATTTATAAAAAGATTCCGGAAAATGCGAAGGCGTCATTTCGAATTTGACAGCAAAAATTAATACCAACCTAAAAATAAATTAAATTACTAAAATTGAGTTTCATTAATTAATATTAATTAAATTTATTTATTGATTTTAATTGTTTTAATCTAAATTTTGATTGATAAGGTTTATATTAAATAAATTTGATTAATTAGATTTGGTTAAAATGAAAAAATTGTGGGGGATCAACACCAAAAAAAAAATAAAGTGAGGTTAGTTTTTTTTAAATAAATTATTATTTATTTATTTAAATTAAAAAGCATAATCGTAACCTTTAAAGTTATGAAATTAAAGGATTTTTATGAGTTTCCGCTATTTTTTAATAGATGGCACCTACAAACAGGAATCGTTACAAACCGAGAGAAAATCCCAAAAATAACTTTCTCAAAAAATTTCTGAAGACGATGATGGATAAACGACCCGGAGGAAGGAAACGAACCGTTAACGCTGTTAACACTGCAATAAGTCCCTTAGATTAACTGCCGTGTGTCTAGACTCAAGAAGTTTACCAGAAAAATTCAAAAAAAATCCAACATAACCTCAAAAAAAGGTGAAACTTTTTTTAATTCTAATTTATATTTTATTTATTTTATTTCTTATCCTTAAATCTCATTAATTTTACTTCCAACTTAATTTATTTACAAATTAAAAAAAATCCGCCGCCCTTTGCCTCTTGGGAAGCTCAATTTTCAACAAATCATCCGTTAAATCATCAGGTTTTTTAATCCCTAATGATAATTTAGGAGTTAAGACTCTTCCAGGAGTCCTCGGAGTCTTCAAAGTTTTCCCCCTTGGTGTCATAGGAGAATAATTTAATTTTAACCGTGATGATGCTAATTTTTGGGCAGCCGGAGACATGGTAGCTAATCGTTCAGATGTGGAAATCCTCGGAGATGGGCTAAAAAAATCTCATTTAAACCTTAATTATCAAAAAAAAATTAACTTACGAAGATAATTGTCTTCGAGCCACATCAATTGCCTTCTTCTTTTCATTGCGATGTCTCACCCCAACCTTTTCAGCAAGCGCCAAAGCGATTTGTTCCCTTCGGGGTGGTTCAGAAATCTTAAAAGATGGTCCTTGAGTTCTTGGGAGAGGTGTATCACCTCCATCGAGTCGAAATGGAGTCCCTTCGATTTCCCCCCAAGTCATTAAAGGACTCTCAGCTACTCCAGGACAAGGTGATGGCGATCGCAAAAAGGAATATCCCCCTAATTTTGGGGAATTAGTAATCAATTCTTTCCCATCAACCCCAATTTTTCCATCCAAAACTTTCGCCTGCGTTTTTGCCAATTCACAAATCACTTCTTTACTTTGAGAATCATTAAATGGATTCGATTTTAACCGAGTATTATTATAATTAATTTCTTGACGGTTCTTTAATACTTTTAACTCTTCCTCTTTCGTTAAATCAACACCATCAGGGACGTACATAATCGAATTTTTATTTTTATAACTCCAAGTATCCACATTTAACTTTTTTTCAGGTAACGCAGCTTGCTCTTCAATCGACGGCAACGCCAATTGGTTTTTCATATCAATCTCACTTTTCTCTTCTTCGTTGTAAAGGTAAGAATATTTTAATTTATGTTTCCGATCACTTTCAATCATTAATTCTTCGAAACTTTCGTTATCTTGCGAAGTATGCGTATTTAAAAATTGATCCAAACTTAATTTTGGGTCTTCTGATAAGGATTTAGAGGTTTCGGATACGTTTTTGAGGTTATGTTTGGGTTTGTTTTGGGAATTATGTAGATTTGGGGGCGTTTCGAACGTCGCGGGGCTTGGTAAACGCTCAATTTGTTTATTCCCGCTGTATTTAGCGTATAATTCGCGTAATTTAACCACATCGTTATTAGCTGTTGCCTCTAAATACTCATTTTGTGCCTTTAACTTTTCTAAATCGGGGAAAAAATCGCGTTGAATGATTTTACCTAATTCCTGTAAATCAATGAGTTATTGTATATTAATGGGAATAATTAATTAATTAAATTTACCTCAACGTAAGTGTCTTCGTCGAGAATTTTTTGTTTTTGTCTCCGTTTTGGGATTCCAATGGGTTTTTTAAACTCTAAGGATTTATTGATTTCCGACATTGCTTCGATTGCGTATCGTCCGGGGGTGCTTTCTGGAGTGCTCATTATGAAGGTACTAAAAAAATTGGTTAATTTTCTTGAAATTAATCAAGATAATGAAAGATTTTTACATAGGTTATGTTGTTGTTTTGACGTTTTAATTTTAAGGTTAAGTATGCAACCCAAATGACAACCCAAATGTTATTTTTTTATTATTATTTATTACAAAGTATTTGTTTATTAATAATTATTTTTTTAACTAAAAAATATTAAGTTAAAAATCCTTTAAATTAATCAAGGTAATAAGGATTAATTAATAGGTTATGTTACATTTTGATGTTTTAAATATGCAACCCAAATGACACGAATAATTTCAAAATTATTTATGAACGTGGAATATAAGACACTTTGAAACTACTTATTGTGAGGTCTTGAAGAAAACTATGGAAGAAAACGTCTATAAATCTCAATCAAATTCAATTGTTAAGGGGCGGTTGAAAACGTCCATTTTTATATACGCCGGAGAGGTTATCTAGATGTACAGGCTGGTTCAAATTCGATGTTCGAATGGGCTATCTCGGAAACTATAAGAGTTAGAAGAAAAGTAGCTTACATGTCATGATCTCGTTTTTCGAGAAACTGCTAATGCCAAAAGCCTCAAACCGCTATCGTCTTTTGTTTTTCCCCTAGAGGCCAAAATTGAAAATATCGTAAAACCAGCAAGTGCAATTATCTTGGTTATTATTATAGGTGGAGTATTATAACTGAGACATTATATGGACACTTTTTAACAGAGAATTTGATGACGTAGTCAAAAAAAAATTTCGGTTTTAGATTTAGAGATATTATGACAATTTTTGTTTTTTTAAATGGAAACAACCACTGCTTATTCGTTTATTAAATTCGTTATTTTTTTCTGATTATAAAAATATGGGGTTAGATAGGTCTATTTCTTATTGTTTTAGAATAAAGCTAAAAATAAACTTTTTTTTAGTGTTGTCAAAGAAATTAAATTTACAGTTTCCTGTAAATTACGGTACTATGACTAAAAACTATTCTACTAAAAATTTATATAAAATTTACTTTATTTTCTAATATATAACATTCTAACATGTTGAACTTTTCGTAATTTTTGTAATCCATTTTAAAAAAACAAGATTTTTAATTTGACACTTCAGAAAATTTTTGAATACAAACAAATGTTGCTATGTTTATTTGAATTAAAAAAAGATATATATGAGCGCCATCTATCAATAATTTATTAAGTCATTTAATAATAATATTAAATATTAATAAAAAATGTAAAATAATGCAATTTATTCCAACTTTTGTGTAAAACAGATATAAATTAAATAGTTCAACAAATGTATTTGATTGAAATATCAGAAATATGTCTTTTTTAATTTTTAATTATAATTTACAGGAAACTGTACATTTAAATTCTTTAATGACACCAAAAAAAAAGTTTATTTTTAGCTTTATTGTAAAACAATAAGAAATAGACCTGTTAAACCCTATATTTTTGTAATCAGAAAAAAATAACGAATTTAGTAAGCGAATAATCGAGATAGCCCATTCGGAAACGACGGAAACTATAAGAGTTAGAAGAAAAGTAGCTTACATGTCATGATCTCGTTTTTTGAGAAACTGCTAACGCCAAAAGCCTCAAAGCGCTCTCATCATTTGTTTTTCCCCTAGAGGCCAAAATTGAAAATATCGTAAAACCAGCAAGTGCAATTATCTTGATTATTATTATAGGTGGAGTATTATAACTGAGACATTAGTCAAAAAAAGAAATTAAATTTACAGTTTCCTGTAAATTACGGTACTATAACTAAAAATTATTCTACTAAAAATTTATATAAAATGTACTTTATTTTCTAATATGTAACATTCTAACATGCTAAACTTTTCGTAATCCATCTTAAAAAACAGGATTCTTAATTTGACACTTCAGAAAATTTTTGAATACGAACAAATGTTGCTATCTATAAGGTATCTCGGGGTACGGTTTAACACAAAACTGAGGCAATGGATATCTTAAAGGCAATTTCATCGACCAAATAGGGTGGAGACCCTGTAATTCTGAGAATACTTTACCGCGCACTAGTTAGATCTAGGCTAGAATTTATGTTACACAGCATGATGCCAGTTCCTCAGACATCGTTTGCGCTCTTGGAAAGAACGGCATACCGGGGTCTTCGTTGCATTTTGGGCTTGCCAATTACGACTCCTACAAATGTGTTGGAAATGGAAGCTAATGAACGTCCACTCAAGTTAACAATAAAATTAAGGACAAAAAAATTTAAGCATTTGGACTGATCTTTGATATTCCGATTTACAATAACATATAAAGGGTACCACGATGACGGGAGCTGATAACATTTTTATGGAATACGTGAGAGACAGATGGAAGGGCTTCGCTTTTTTCTTTACAGACGGTTCCCTTGTACACAAACCTAGAGCGGTCGGATGTTTACTCTCCCACCCATGATACACAGCTATCGATAGGACTACCAGCCTGCATGTCCATTTTTGCAGCTGAAATACTGGCAATTGGCGAAGCTCTCAATATAGTAATACGTCAAAAGCTTGAGAAGACTATTGTATTTACTGATTCCTTAAGTACGCAACAAGCACTTAGAAACTTTAGACCAGGAAAATCGGTGCACTATTTACTTGCATCAGTTATGCGGAAATTGAGTTTAATTAAGAATGAGAGACAGGAAGTGAAGTTGTGTTGGGTAATCCATGGCAATGAGATAGCAGATCATTTGGCCCGTGAAGGCCTTAAACTAACCCCGCGGCAGGTGTGTGTTGATGTCATGGACACATATCCTTGTCTCACAGATTCAATTAACAAGGAATGGGCGGTAGATTGGCGTGAAACAACATTATATAAAGGAAGATGGTATGTTAAGATAAGGCTAAACATTGGAAAACCTGCTTGGTTTGAGGAAATTCCCTACGTTTCGAGATACTTCTATACGTTGATTAACAGGCTAAGAACCGGACAAGCTGCAACTGAAGCGTACTTGCACAAAATTGGACAAAGAGATAGTCCGGACTGTGACTGTGGAACTCGGGGGGACATCTACCACTATATACTTGAATGTCCACTTTATGAAGATACAAGATCTGAATTAAGTCTCAAACTACTACAACACAACTTGCAGGAAACCAAAGATATTAGAGATATATTGAAAACCAAAAATTTCGATATTTACAAGAGTATATATTATTTTATTATTAAGACTGAAAAGTTTATTTAATGAAGGTTCTAGATAGGGAAGATAAAACGTACTTGCAATTTATTTTATTTGTTTACTTATCTAATTTTTTATGTTCATGCTTTTCTTGTGTTCCAAAAATAATACCTATCATTCCTGTCCGAGGGGCATCCTAGAGACCTATGAGAAATGAGTCTCAGCCCTCAGACTCGAGAAGAGCATGAGAAGGGCATGAGTTGCATGGCTTTTAATGGTTTTTGTTTTATTTTCATTTTATAATCATTGCTACATTTAAAATGATTTGATTCAATAGTTGCTTGATAGATATGTAGTGTATCGCAATGTTTTTTGTATTTTTGCATAGAGAATCGATACGCGGGGCTTTTGTTTTTGTTGATTGCCTTTTAGTAGCCTTTTAGGTATAGTAAATAGAATCAGCGCACTAGAATAATAATACGCAATCTAAACGCAGTGACTGGGAAGTAATAAGGACAAGTTTCCAAATCCCATTGCCAAGTTTCCAATCATTGTGAAGAAGAAGAAGAAGAAATGTTGCTATGTTTATTTGAATTAAAAAAGATTAAAAAAAGATATACAGGTGTCTCAGCGAGACCGGTCATTAGACGTTTCTGGGGTTCTGGCGAAAATAAAAATTTGAGAATTCAGACTTCAGTATTATCAATTACGATCGCTTCGACTAAAATATTTTCAGATTTCTTGCACTTCCGGTTATACCGGAAGTCGTCACCTACTTTATTTTTTTAAATAGAACACCCTGTATATTTTTACATATTTGGATTTGTCTGTTTTCAGGGTTTACAAATAACTCTACTTTTTGCAATTTGATTCGGCCGTTCTCGAGTTATTCGAATTTTTCTAGAAAAATCTGCTCCAGCAGACATTTGTTCAAAAAATCAGAGAACACTCGATTTTTGGGATATCAATTTAGGATTCAGAATATGCTTAAACAACATGATGGAGTATGTTTTGGTGCCGAGAACGGCTGTCTAGAACGTTTGGTCACTTTACTATGGCACGTTAACTTTTCAAAATTTGGAAGTACCATAACTTCATTTTTTTAAATGGCACCCCCCATATTTTATTACTTAGTCGTCTTCGGCGTCTCATTCTACATCTTTTATATCCCATATGTCCCATACCTAACATTAATAGTTTGGGAGATAATTAGGGTTTTTTGAAAAATGCACNTTTACGAGGGTGCTCCGCTTTCAAATGGGCCACACTGTATGTTCATTAAAAATTTTTTTTTTGGTAATTGGATTAGGGTGCGCACCCTTAGCTATCATATGTCAAAGTTTGATGGTGAGATAACAAATCACCCTGTATACTAAAAGCAAACTGAGGGATAAAATTCGAATCAAAAATTCTATATGACACACATGGCGAAATACAAATAAGAAAGAATTCTGGTTCTTTTTAGGAATCATCTCAAATATGGGCACGATGCCTAGAATGCAAAGGGTTAATTTTTTAACTTTATTAGAAAAAATACAAAGCATGATTACAATTATTTTTGAATCGCCCATTTTTATGTATTAATTAAACATTGTATACCGGGAATTTCATATAACTCGCAATATATATACAGGGTGTGTCAAATGTCTGGAATATAGCCAATAACTTCGCCATTTGTGTTTCAAATGAAAAATTCTTTATTAATAGTGGCGAATTTTTTGGCGATACTTGCTTGTTTACATTGTTCTTTGTTTCGTTGCTATGGCAACCAACATTGTTATTTTAAATGTTTTTTTTTGCACGTTTTAATAGAGGATAAATTGTTAAATTGGTTGTATTAGAAAGAAGTCGAGAAAAAATGCGTTCTCTGAAAATATTAAAGCAGCAAATTACAATCAAAGTAGGCGCCGAAATAACGCCGTTGGCAGCTTT